TAACGTAACTAACTTCCGTGCGGCGATTCAGCCATATATTATAAAAATCAAATAGCTTCCTTAGGACCCATAATATTTTGTGGCCGTGGTGTTACCCTGTTTAAAAGGGTGTATGCCTATTTTACTTCATTTCGTCGCTCGCTTTGTTAAGGATGGAAGTGGATTTGTTGTATTTCCAACTCCTCTAATTTTCTTATGATTAATTTCGTTGCGGTTTCCAAGACAGTTAAATATTTTCCTGAGACTTACCGAGTGTCATAACTCGGTGTGTTCGTGAGTCACTGCTGTCGATCCTGGTGTACAGGAGTTACAATAGTGGGAATTTGGGAGGGATTAGTTCCAATAAAAATATACTTAAAAAAGTACTACACCGAGAATTGTATTCAAAATGCCTGAGTGAAATGAGTGAGAAAATATCTCTTCTACCGCTACCAGGTTAATTAGGTAAATGTAATCGTATGTATGGCGTTTTTCCTAGGTGTCATTTGTCTACAATATGCAAGTATTGTGTTCTTAATCCGTCACCACACTGTCCGTACGGACATATTAATAATAGGGAGTATTACCACTCCTATTCATCCCGTGGTTATCGTAATAGCCCACTAAGGAAGCAAACTACCCAGTACAGACCGAGGAAAGAAAACTTGATACAAACCTTCTGGCCAGCGTGGTATAGTAGGCCAAAACTTACTTTCCAAGGAGAGGCCTATGTCCAGTAGTAGACTACTAAGGGCTGTTGATGGTGATGCAGGTATTTAGAAATATTTAAATAACTTTATCTGCTGTCTGGTTACCATAGCACAGGCTTTGCTTAGTTTGGGATCAGACTACCGTGTCTGAGATGTATAAAGCTATTATTATTATTTCACCCTCTCTTATTAATGTTCTATCGTAACGGATTCATTTCTCTTTCGCATCTCGGGTGTCAAACCATTCCCCACTTGCCATTTCATTCACGACCTACGACTTGATATATTGCATCTATTTTTGCGACACTTGGCAGCCATTGCAAGCACCTGCTCTATTTCAAATGTTTATCAGCAGCCAACATTACTAATTGTATGAATAATTTGACAAATACAATCTGTCGTTTAGAATTTACTGTTCGTCTAAAATACAGAGCAAAACGTACGTAAGCGCCATCTAGTAAAGAGAAACAACCAATCGGTGCAACGGGTTATCGTCTGCGGTATTTCCGGACCGATACGACCTTCAAACCTTCAAGAAAAGAGCGTACTCCTTCCTAAAAGGCCGACAACGCGGTTCTGACTTTTGAGTTGCAGACGTTCATGGGCGGCGATGGTCACTTTCCATCAGGTGACAAGTCTGCTCGTCTGCCCCCTCTAACATAAAAAATAAAATAAAAATATGATTACGTTACAACATTTGACAATTTCTGTGGTGGATCGCTGGTGCCTGAGGTAGGGATAAAAACCTGTGTTAATCACAGACTGATCGATCAACGCACAGATTCAGATTATATATATGCAAACAAGAATTGCTCGTTTAAAGGTATTAGATAAATAACCCTGATCATCTTTCTGCCCTTTTTCCTAAACTATTTGTGCCTAAATGTCTTTACTCGTGTCTAAGTACAAGAAGGTTAACACACTACAAATTGAGGCAATCCTAGACAGGTCAGTCTATGGGAGGGGTGACCAACCTTAACCATTTGAGACCCCCTTCGTGCCTCAAAGAGCACTTTAAGCCATCGGACCCGGTTGCCATTCGAACATATGTGGCAATCGTTACGAGTATTTAGAGGCCTAAAAAATTCGACAACAGTCTTTCAACAGAACTTCGACATCGCCTAGTACTTGGTTTGTGGAAGTCTGATCTCTGTAGCTTCCCGTAAAAAATCGGTTTAGCCGTATCATAGTAGACTTAAAGCCGACCCCAACCTAGTTTGGGAAAAATGCTCGGAGGAAGAAAGTCTTGACTCGAAATTGGTGCCTGTATTTTTGCAGGCTGGCGGAACATACACACATATTGCCCTGAATGTTTGTATGTATGTATAGTGATCGTATGTAGAGTATTCCTTGATCGCCTTTGTTTAAAGACAGCGGTTATCGACCGTAGGTCGTAAAAGGTTATTTCTGTATTTTTGGCTGAAAACGACGATTTATATTACATCAGAATACCTACATCTACATGGTATTTTATCGAGATAAAATGCCAGGTTTTATTTACATTCAGTGTACTAAAAAAAAATTTTTTTTCCATATTTAAAATAATAATATAGTAACTGTACACATCTCACACACGGCCGTCTGATCCCAAACTAGTCAGAACCAGTACTCGAGTAACCAGACTGCTGATAAACATACTTATATATCTTTAAATACATATACAGGGTGGCGCAATAGAACGTGCATATTGCATCATCTTTTTTCGCGGGGTAGAAAGTGCGCGGGCAGGGGGAGCCTGCATCGTTGGGTAGGCGGGCTCATGGAGTTTTAGTCACTATGAGTCACTTCGACGGGAAGCGTCGCGCATTTTGCGTGCGCGCATTTTACGAGAACTCTCGTTCATACATCGTTACTAGGCGTTTATATTGTTCTGAATATGGACTACGGCAAATTAGTAAAGCTCCGAGTGCTAATTTAATTAAAATATGGGTACAGCGTTTTGAAGAGACTGGTTCAACGTTTAAACCACAAGCAAAAGGTTGTCCAAGAACATCTAGGACCGACGACAATATTGAGAGAGTTATGCAGTCTGTACGAGGAGATCCACAAATGTCTACTCGTAAGAGATCGTCTGTCTTACACTTATCGCGACGAAGTTTGCAACGAATTTTAAACTTGGATCTTAAACTGCATCCTTACAAGCTGCAGTTAACACAAGAATTGAAAGAGTCTGACTTCGGAGCAAGGCTCGCATTTGCTAATGAAATGCTTAATCGATTTTCCAATTTTGACAAAATCCTTTTCTCAGATGAGGCCCACTTCCATATCAATGGGTTCGTAAACCGTCAAAATTGTCGTTACTGGAACAGTGAGAATCCCAAACTCAAGCACCAGAAACCACTGCATAGTCCTAAAGTGACAGTATGGGCAGCAATCTCTGGTAGAGGAATAATTGGACCGTTTTTCTTTGAAAATGCGCGGGGGCAAAACGTCACTGTTAATACCGAACGCTATGTTGCGATGTTGGAAGGTTTTTTGGCTCCAGAGCTTGAAAATTCAAGAATAGTGAATTCTAGGACTTGGTTTCAACAAGACGGAGCTACCTGTCACACATCAAATGACTCCATGGCGGTTGTGAAACAGATGTTCCCTGGCAGACTGATTTTGAAAAGAGGTGATATCCCATGGCCCCCACGTAGTCCAGACGTGACGCCTCCTGACTTTTTTTTTGTGGGGATACCTCAAGAACAAAGTCTACAGTAATAATCCGAAAAACAACGATCAGCTCAAGGAGAATATCCGTGGTGAAATGGCAGCAATTACACCAGCATTACTGAAGAAAGTTTTCAATAACTTCCGTTTGCGATTAGAGGAGTGTCGTCGTAGAGAGGGTCATCATTTAGACGATGTTATTTTTAAAAAATAAACTTCAGTTATTTCTTAATAATACCTCAGTTTTATTTTAACTATACCTTTTGTATTTATTTTCTAATCAATATTTTAAATATGCACGTTCTATTGCGCCACCCTGTAGATTATAGATAGGTAGGTAATCAAAAAAGTTACTGAGGTTTACTGTTGAATTGACAATTGAGATTGAGATTGATCTGTATTTACTAGTATTTTATTTGTCTGATCTTTTGGTCTTGTCCGTATTCTCTATCTGTCACCACACTGACAGATAAAGAATACGGAGTGTCACCACCCATATTCATTCCGTGGGGGGTGAAAAGTTAAGAAGTAATAGGTTTTCTTGGTCATGTGAACACATGTCATGCGGAGGGATGAGGAAAATGTGGCGAAGAAAGTTTTAGGTATGGGAGTTGAAGGGTACAGAGAAGAGGCAGACCGAAGAAAAGGTGGATGGACTGCGTGATTGAGGATATGGCTAGGAAGGGAGTAAACAGTGAGATGACGCATGACAGAGTAGAATGGAAAAATCATACATACTGCGCCGACACCAAATAAAATTGGGAAAAGGGTAGGCAGATGATGATGGGTGTCGTAAGAGTTTCAAGTTTTCCTTCTCTTTACTGTTCTGTTGTCCTGCATAAGCAAAATACGTGTTTTTTTAATGGCGTAGGGGGCAACTTTATCTTATGTATACCTGCTACCCTACAAGTACTGGTTGCTGGTTAGGCTGTTGCTGGTTTCTAGTTCCAGAATTAGGGAGGAGGAAAGGCTGGGGGCTGGACTTCACACAGGGACTTTATAACTCTTTTATACATTCGCCATTTGCTTATCCTTTCAACATACTCAAACCATTGCAGGATTTCTCAATTCTTGCATTGAGTGAAGTGCATTAAGATATTAAACTTTTCAATGAATATTTCTAGCATTGAACTCCACGTAGCATTATTTTGAATACTCAGTTCATTGACAAGGTTTATAGCATAACATATTCCTTAGGAATTGTATGTTTAGATTCGTTTAGATTAAAAATAGAAAAAAAATAGTGGCCAATTGTTGGCCAATGAGTTCCCTTCTACTGTCGCTGTATCTGTCAGCTGTGACATTTAGTGCATGTAGAACAAGCTAAATAAAGTTGGCCCATTTGTTTTAGTTATTTCTTAGTTCGACATTCCACCTACACATACCAGAATAATATAGTTCTTGCCTATTTTTAATGTACTATTTTGTATTGTTTCAGAATCGGATTCCTTCCTTCTAGCCATCCACTTCAATTTAAAAAAAAATCTATTCTCTGTCAAAGTTCCCGGTAAAATGATACGTCAAGTCGACCACAGTTAATAAATACTGTTAACGTTAAATGAATACAGTATTAATACTATAGCTTTAAAAATATCTAAAGTAATAATGAGATTGAGAAAATTATAACTGGTCGGAGGTTATTAGGTAAAATATTATAAAATGGCTACGCCGCCCGAGTCACCGGTTGAAGAGCATGCGTATGAACTGGAGCCGAGTCGAACGCCTAAACCAATTCCTGTTGCCTTGGAAGAGCTGTGCAGGCAGACGAAGTTCTCAAAGCAAGAGATACGAGTCATGTACAGAGGATTTAAGACGGTAATATTATTTATTTATTTTTTCTTAAAAACTTTATGCACAAAATGGCGGACTTAATGCCATACGGTCTAGCGGTCTATCGTAGGTGTTGATATGAGTGGAATGGTGCACTACACTTTAGTTAAGAATTTTCAATTAAACTAAAAAGAACTAAATACTAGGAAATGCCGTCTCGCAAAAAAGAGAAGAAACGGAAAGAAAAATAAATCGGTTTTTTTTCTGACTATTAAGAGATTATTATATAATTCATCATCATCAAAGGCTGTCGATGATGATGATGGTGAAGAATTAATCATAAATAAATTACATTTTTTTTACTACACCTTAAAGCTTTAGGGACTTATTACGGCTATATAAACAAGAATTGAGTTTACTTGATGGACGCAGTTTAATAATATGATCAATGTTGACCACGGCTATTAAAACACTCAGGTCCTATGTGGGGATCGAGCCCACAACACTAAGCGCAGTAGGAAGCGGCGAGGTCACCGCTTAAACCACTACGCCATCCATGCAGTCATATAATGGTCATTCAAACAGTGGTCATTACATAGTCGATTATGATTTCACAAGGTCAAGCGTCCAATCGACTATTATGGTCGATTTTCTCTATGGATTGTAATTGGCAGGATGTGATGTTTATTTAGTAATTACTGCTGCCATGGCATCTGTAATTATTTATTTATGCATTGAGTTAGTCATATAGTTATGCAGTTAGTAACCACCGCAGCTCATGGACAAATGCAGTTCAAGAGTGGCTGCCGTTTTATGAGTACACCAGACCCCCACCCTGAAAGGGGGGGGGGGGAGGGGGTTGAGCTGAGTGAAAAGCAACAAAAGTATTGCTCAACACCGGCTTTCTGTGAGGCCGTGATACAACTTCAGTCAAGCTCACCCATTTGTGTCGCAGCACGGCTTTCCCACGGTTATTACTTAGACTTATTTATTAGCACGCCAAAGCATAATTGCAGAATTCAGGATCAATATCTCCTATGCAGTTCTATTACACATGATAGATGGCGCTATACCATATATTTTTTTGCAACGTTTTTGATGTCAGTGTATAATAACACTTATCATCATCAACAGCCGCACTGCTGGACATAGACCTCTCCTTAGAAATGAGGTTTTGGCTTACTATACCATGCTGGCCAGACGGGTTGGTTTAGGGTTTACTTCAAGTTTTTTTCAGCTTTGCAGTGCTGTTGTCCTTTACAACATCTACGGGATAAATCGGGATGGTGACACTCCGTCTTGTCAAACCGTCACCACACGGATAAAATAACATTATATTGAAACAAATGACGAAGCATTAACACATTGCTGTCAAGGCCACGACTGCGAGTTTTCAATAATAACGCAATAGCGTGTCAAACCGCTATTTATTCTCAGAAGCAAAAGAATTGCTTCGAAGAATTACAGACGTCAATTTAATGGCCTTATATGCTAAAAGTGAATAATTTGTATCAAAGAACACTTAAATCATACCGTCAAGAGTCTATTTGTCATACTTAAACTAAAGTTTCTGGTTAAACCTTGGATTTTCTTTTATTATATTGAAGGCAAACGAGGTTCGCCATATAGGAAGCATCTATCGCCGTGAACTTAAAGATCACAAGTGTGTTGTGCTGGGGTTTGCAAGTATCTTTCTCCTCTTCCTCTCCTTCCTCTAAGTCAAGGAGAACTTGAGCTTTCAGTAACCTTACTAAGCTTTTTATTTCTCTTGTGCGCAATTTTTGCACTTTGATACCTATTTTGATAATAACCTTCAAACCATGGAAAGTATTTCGAGGAATTGGTCGGACTAATACCGGGCCCAGCATTACGCCATAGTTTCACGAAGCAAAACATCCATCCCTATAACTATGCACTTTTCAAGAAACTATCTCACAACCAATTTGTAAAATAAATTGTCGCCAGCATTGTTTCCGGACCGATACGACATTCAAACCTTCAAGAACGGAGCGTACTTCAACTTCAAATGCTGTCAACGCACTTATAGCTCCTGAGGGCAAGACGTCCATGGCCAGAGGTAGTCACTTTCCATCGGTTGACCCATTTGCTCGTTCACCTATACAAAAAAACATAATTTCTTGCGGATTATTAGTGAGGCGCTTATAAATGCCAAACTGTTCTCTCACAGATTCTACAGAAGGATTATCATTGTCTTAGAACATACAACTATTAAACTGCTATAAATTCAGCCTGGCTTAGTTCGCCATTAAGTTCAGAGGACCCTTCCCACGTTAAGCTTATCCTCCGACCCTTGTACTAAGTTACGACCGTCGTAAGAACCAATAGCTTGGAAATTATTATCCAATATAAATTTACTAATTAAAGACATCTAACTGCCTTCATCTAGCTAATATATGAAGTGGTCAATGAAAAGGAGTCAGTAACTATGCTATGCTTTTGTTTTTTTAATCGACAACGTCAATCGTAACGAAGTTATTCGACAGAGAACTAGAGCAATCAACACCGCACGGAGAATTACAGTACGCTAAAGTGGAAATGGGTCGGTCATGTCTCCAGGCAGACTGATGGTCGCTGGAGCCGAAATGAGCTAGAGTGGAGAAAGGCTTAAGTTAAGGCAAACGTAGTTTAGGGTGCCCTGTGACTCGATTGATCGACGACTTAAGGAAAGTGGCTGGCAGCGTATAATAGTAATAAAAAGGAAGAATAAAAGGCCTGCCTTGGATGATGATAGGTGTTGCGGGCAGACGCGGGCAGACGGGAGGGGTCCGGATGTCTTAATAACAGCAGTTCCCGGATCCCTCCTATTACAAGCGCAGAGTGGCACACCGTGTGGTTTTAGTCGGTCCGATTCCGACAGACCACCCCGCCGCAAACCCCGGTGGGGTAACGGCCCGAGGGTGTTTCCACACGTAAAATAAAAAGAAATAGGCTGATGATAGGTAGTGTTATTGGAGAGATTCCCCTGAACCGCCTCCTCCCAACCCTTAAACTCTCACTTAAACACTTATTAACGGATGTCCTATATTTTTTGGTTGACAATATTATCTTGGAATTGATCTGAGGATGAAGCTAGAAAGCGGATAGATGAACGGAGTAATCCTTGTAATCGACTTAATCAACTATGATTCGTTTTGATGAGTCCAAGATTTAGATTCGTTAACGATGGTCTGATGATGGTGCTGGGAAGTGGATGATAGAACTGTTTTTTAAATCCTTAGATAAAAATTACTTGGAAACAATCGTTACTTGTTTAAAAAGGTAGTAACTACAGAATTCGACCGTCCGCGATGCCCGAAACACATCTATCGGTATATTGCTTCTTATGATATAGAGAGCAAACAAACCTGGTGGATGGTGGATACCTACACAACAACAGCCACAAGTTCCCACCCTTCTAGGTGGCAGTGCACGCACGTTAATTGTCGGGAATGCGCTCTTTTCGTAAAGGTTTGAAGGTATCAGTCAGGTCAGGTCAGGTCGTATCAGTCCGGAAATACCGCTAGCGACAACTCATTCCACAGTTTCTTGGAGTGCCAATCGTCCATGTGACATTGAAATTGATAATGGAAGTGGGGTGGAAGTTATGTTGCGTTGAACAATGGCGGAAAGCTGAAGTCGGTATAAGCCGGTACAATTTCTCGGGGCACCTCAACAAGCAATAACAAATAGCAATTGATATGGCCTTCAAACCTTCAAAATAACAGCGTACTCTACGAATAACAATTTCTCATTATTCGAGCAAACTCCATCCTTAAAGGCCGGCAGCGCACTTGTGAGTTGAATTCATTCATTGACAAATATATTTTGATTTAATTCTGATTACCATTTTCTAAGTTTGATTATTCCGACTAAAACCGTGTACAAATCTACAAAACAATATATAAATATACTTACTAATAAAACACCACTAGTGCCCGCAAAGCACGCAATTTTGCGTGTTTCGGCACGAACACACGAATTTGAATATTTTGATGTTCGCTAATCCAGTGGTAGCTAAGCTATGTAAAGCTATACTGCAAGTAGTACACATTTTCAATAATAAACAAATTGACACAAGACCTTAGTTTTTGCAAAGAGAAAGACATACATACAAGCCTATATACTCAAAGGGGTAAACAGAAGTGTAGTAAACCCTCATCTATACTAATACATATTATATAGCTCAAGAGTTTGTTTGTATGGTGTAACGCGCTAATCTCAGAAACTACTGATTCCAATTGAAAAATCTTTTAGTGTTAGATAGCCAATTTATCAAGGAAGGCTATGGGTTATATAACATCACACTACTAGCAATAGGATCCCGTTTGAGAGACAGGGAAAATTGCGTGGGTCATCTATTAACTATAATTTTAGTTACATTATGTAATATGAAGTTATTCCCAGTTCCAGTAAACCAGTTATCAGGGCCACCAGAAGCGTTTTAAACGCTAACGTCTAGCGTTTAAAACGCTTCTGGTGGCCCTGATAAAGGCGTAAGCGTATGTCAGAACTCTTAACAGGTCAAAAGTGTTTTTACCTGCATTGGACAATAGTTCTTTTAATTGCTGCGTCAGATATCATCCACTGTTATTGAATCATTTGGGTTAGATGAGTTTATAACAGTAGGATCTTGCAGTCAAAACTAATTGGACTAATTTTGCTTGTAAAGTGCAGGTTAGCAATATTTTTGACCTGTTAAAAGTTATGACTGTAACATATACCTACAAATTATTACGGTAATCAGTTTAGTGGTTTAGACTTAAAGCTTAACAAACAAACTCAATTGCACCTTCTTAGGAATTGTTAAAATAGCGTTTATATAGCTTAGCTTTTAAAGCAGGTGTATCTTTATAATATATTTTGTCTCTATTCATATATTTATATCCCCACTAAGCCTATACCAGATCGGCATTGACCTACACAAAGAACCTTTTAAACTACTCGTATTTACTTATATAGTGAAGAAAATTTTACGTAAAGAAGCGACTGGTCTTTTTGTGTAGTGGTTATCGATCCTGGTTGGTGAGCTGGTCATGAATTCGATT